TATGAATATGTATACTGGATGCAAAAGTCATAATATTTAATGAGATTTTCTCATCGCAAGCTGACAAGGGATGGAACAATGCATGTATAGGAAAGAGATAATGTTTAACAAATATTTATCATGTACCACTCGTTTTTTCATGCGTTGATGAACATTCATTTTTCTATGATACTAATATTTTTATGTCATATCTATTCTCATTTTCCACAACTTACAACTTGTTTTATGCACATTTTTTATTTTAAATCCAACACTATTTTGTCATGTCACGCCATATAAATGAAAAACTTTACAAGCCGTATCGTAGTTTCAATTGTGAATTGCCGCGTCGTCGATGCGATAAAAATATAAAGTTGCAACTATTAAAAAAATAATCTATTTTTGCGGTTCGTCACCCATTTCTATGTACTGACTTAAGTGCTCACGATAGACATCTTTCTTCTCTCTCTCGTTTTGTGTTTTGGTTTCTCAGTTACCACTACTTACTTTGTGCTTAAACGAAAATTAAAGTCTCAAGAAGTTCTCATTCGTAGAAAGCAAGAGAGAAAGAAGTTGGAGTCGTTAACACGCAACATTATATATCCACTTTAAAAAATTCATTAAATAGCATTACCTTACGTTATTTATCGTTTTTCAATCGTGATAAAACTTCTGAAGTTGCCCGATTTAATTGCCAGTTTCTATTTGAAATAAGAAATTCTCTTCTCTTAAATAATTCCGCTTCTTCACTTCACATTGTTTTACATACTTATAGCGGTAATGGAAGCCTCGTGTTTGTAATTTGCTTTCTTACTATTTTTTCGGTATATTAATAGTAAAGTCTAGAGAGACTGAATAGTAGAGAAATTATTTTGTATAACGTAAATGGCAGCAATTATGGAAGTAAGAAATGACAATTTTGTGTGCGTCGCGATTACTTTTACAAAAAAAAAAAAATCATTTGTCACCTGAAGAACTAATTGTATACTTTATAAAATGACAAATTGCTGTAAAAGTTTTTTTTTTCATTTTGAAATTATGATGAATTTGATGTGAAAATGATGAATAGGAAAAAAGTATTTAGATGTTAAGCATATGGTAACACAAACACCACAAGTACTAAAATTGCTTACAAATACATTAGCATAGTGAATCTATTGGGAACATGACTTTTAACTATGTAAATTAGGTGTAAAAAAAAAGCAATTTAACGTAATTTTGTGTGAGCACTCTTTTATGATTATACTACATTTTTTACATACAATTTGAATATTTCAGTAAAAATGTTAAAACAATTTTCAGTTCAACTTAATTTTTTTTTTTCGGGACTATGAAATTACTATGGCAGAAGCAATTAAGGAACCTTGGAAATTATTTTTCTGATTTTGAATGATTTTTGTTGAGCAGCACTTCAAACGAGTAGTTAATCCAAATGCACTTAATTGCTTGCAAATCAGATAATTAAATGCTTGCAAATTAATTGTTCAAACCGCTATAAATCTTTTCAGTTGAATATTTTTAAAACAACATTAAACGGTGTGCAAAAATAAAACATTTAAAGTTTACATGTTTTTGCATATCTTTTTAAGTGTGTGTGAAGTTGGCGGGAACAGGTTCTCAGATCTAGTTGAAACTTTGTCAGAATTACGTCCATATTACGTCCATTTACGTCCCGTATTTAAATATTTTCGTCCTACTTCCTATGACTGGATATACCACTTTCAATATTTGGGTATCTTTCCCGCTAACTTCACTTTTTCAGCGGGAACCAATTCCGAAATTAATTTTAATTATACATATTATATATCAAAATTGATCTCCTAATTACGTCCAATTTCGTCCCGCAAAAATTTTTAGAATTGGATATGACTAGCAAGAGTTTTGGACTGTCAAAGTTTTGGACAGTACCACTTGTGGACCAATATTTTTTTTCCCCAAAAACCTCCCATGTTATATATCAAAACACATCTACTTTTCCTCAGCAGCTTAAATATGATGGAATTATTTAAGTCCAACCTGTCATCCTGGACTTGTGGCAGTTCCAGTTCCATCTCTTACCTGAACATCATCAAAGTTTCAAAAATTTACTAGGATCATATTGTATGTCAAAATATATGAGTTTTTTCTCAATGTTCCTAATCTGACGAGTTGGTTCCAAGGACTATGGAAACCACGCTGTCAGTTGAATTTGAAAAAATTTAAACGAAAAAAATTTTCGTAATCAAATTTTGACAGGAATATTTCAAAATTTATTTAACCGTTATAAAATCATCGTAAAACAAAATATTCAGTTACAACGAGAAGAATAAAAGATACCTGAATACTCTGAAAGATTTTCAAAATTTTGAGATTCGAAAACATTCTAATCTTTGGATTGAAAACATTTTAGCATGTTCAGGCATGGTAAAAATACACTGAAACTGAAATATTTCCAAAAATCCCATTCAGATTAAAAAATCTCCTCTTAATTTGAATAAGTGAGAAAAAATACTTATGATTTGATGTATAACATGATCTTAATTTTTTTTTCGAACTTTTGGACATGCTTAGGGACGAGGCTAGAATGTACTGGAACTGCCATAAATTTAGAATGGTGAGTGGAGCTAAAATATCGTCAGATTAGGAACACTGAGAAAAAACTCATATATTTTGACATACAATATGATCCTAGTAAATTTTTGAAACTTTGATGATGTTCAGGTAAGAGATGGAACTGGAACTGCCACAAGTCCAGGATGACAGGTTGGACTTAAATAATTCCATCATATTTAAGCTGCTGAGGAAAAGTAGATGTGTTTTGATATATAACATGGGAGGTTTTTGGGGAAAAAAAATATTGGTCCACAAGTGGTACTGTCCAAAACTTTGACAGTCCAAAACTCTTGCTAGTCATATCCAATTCTAAAATTTTTTGCGGGACGAAATTGGACGTAATTAGGAGATCAATTTTGATATATAATATGTATAATTAAAATTAATTTCGGAATTGGTTCCCGCTGAAAAAGTGAAGTTAGCGGGAAAGATACCCAAATATTAAAAGTGGTATATCCAGTCATAGGAAGTAGGACGAAAATATTTAAATACGGGACGTAAATGGACGTAATATGGACGTAATTCTGACAAAGTTTCAACTAGATCTGAGAACCTGTTCCCGCCAACTTCACACACACCTTTTTAAATACCCACAAGATCTGCTTTATCCAGATGACTTTTAAATCTGTGACATTGAAATGTTTAAAAGCCTGACAATTTTGAAAGCTTTTATGACAAATGTTACCCTTAGGCTGTGAAGCAAAATATGTTAAACAGAAAAATATACGTAATTTACTTGATCATATGTCGATTAATTACTTTTTCCCGTTCATTTGTAGCTTTCAATTGAATGTTCAGAAAACGCATTAAATAAATCACTATAAATGTCATATATTAGTTCATATTTTTACGTCAACTACATTTGTGTATTTCCCTGATAGAATTTTAATGGACTTGTAAAGTACCTAATGCATCAACATATCCAGTATGGACATGGAGTGAAAAAAGAGATAAAATTACATAATTAACTAGATACTAGCTTGTTTATTTACCTATCTCATAAGTTTTTGGATTACTACTAGCTTCTATTTCATGGGCAATAATCCTCATCACGTGTAGATTATTTCTCATTTAAAATTATGATGTATTCATCATACAAGGCACTAAATTAAGAATAATTGCATCCCATTATTGCTATTAAATCTCTGACTCTCTCACTCGCTTGCTAACTCTACGCTTGTCTTTGTTTTGCTCAATCTTTGCTTGTTTTCTTGCTACTAACAATGAAGTTTTTGTACATACTGCATACCTACACTACATCAATTTACATTTAACAGAGATTTTTTTTTTCGTTCAATATTGATTAAATTTTTCCCGATCTTTTTGCTGTTGTTGTTATAGGCCTTTTTGAATGACAAGTGGATGACATTAATTGCATTCCAATAGACTTCCAACACGATGCGATTATTATGCAATTATTTAAAGTAATCGCACATGCAACAATGTAGCACAAAATCATGAGATGATGATTTATATCTTGTGATGTTACAGTTTTGCAGCATAAAACGATTCAAGGCTTCCGTACGAATAATGATGAGACTTGACAATTAAATCGTTTTCTCATGACTATGAGTATTTAACGTAATCTATTCGATATGCTGATCCAAAGGTTAAGGTTGTTTGGTAGATGATCGGGACTATCAAACGTTATCGAAAAATGAACTTGTAAAAGATAATAAAAGACAAGAATGGGAGTCTTTTGCGTGTTGTTTCAATATGGCTATATAATCTTAGGCAAACAGTCAGTTAATAAACAATGTGGTGGGTCGTAAGAAATTCCCGCAAAATAACAGGAACAAAAAGAACTGAACATTGATTAAATTTTTCTTAACGATTGATCAGGCACAGCATGAAATGCTATCGTTTATCAATTAATAATTAATTCAAGAGTCATTCATAAGTGTCAGTTTATAGACATAATTTTTATTACCTCAGATGTTTCATTTATTAAAAAATTAATATCAAGAATCAATAAAAGATATCGACATTTCATGATAATTTCTACAACCTCATTTGAATCTCATTAAATAAATATGTCTGATGAAAAATATTAATTTTTTTGGGAGATCTGAGAAGGTATAAACGTAGACAGGCAGAATGATGCGAAAGAGGAAGTCATTAAAAATCACATGTTTAAAAGAAAAAGCTTATGAAAATAAATCTGTCCGAAATCGACACCAGAAGATGCTGTAGAATATGAAAGGAACGTAAATTGGATGTAGAATGAAGAAAAAATTAATGAATTATTGCTGTAACAATCGCGAGAATATCTAGCGCCGGCTTCTTTTTTAAATAGGATGAGAATAATTTTTATTTCGGCTCTTTTCAATTCAAAACCTTTAGTCAGCATGCAGTCGTTCTTCGTTTAAATTCATTCACAAAAAAAATATCGTAAATTAATGTTTGTTAATTTCATTTCTTTCTTCCAGGAACATCCGTCATTAAAAGGAACACCGCTAGCGATGTTGGCTGCACAATGTAACAAATTGTCGAATAAGTCGCCTCCACCGCTCGCTGATGCTGCTGTAGGTAAAGGCTTCCATCCATGGAAAAAATCACCACAACAATCATCATCAGGTCCACAGTCACCAACAAATGTCTCACCACAGCATAACAATAACAATAATAATCAAAGTGGAAATTTATCAACACAACGAAGTATTTCAGGAAGTCCAATGAATAATTCAAGTATTACTCCAACAAGGTAAGATTCTTTTCCATTTTCATCTTACAACCAAAATATTTATGCTAATTTCTCAACAGCCGCACATTAACATCTTCATGCCCTTCTGGTTCTATTCATACGCCAACTTATGGTGGTGATTTATACTTTACTGGTGCCACATCATCACCAGCAATGGGGGATAATCCGCACATGCATCAGGGATTATTAGGTAAAGTAGAAGTTGGATCTGTATATTCACGCCATCCATATGATTGGCCATTTAATGCCGTCACGACACATAAAACAGAAAATATGAATGGTGGTTGGTGGGATATGCATTCGGCTGCTGCTGCTGGAAGCTGGCTAGATATGGGAAGTGCTGCTGGCATGCACGCTACAATGGCAAATTATGCAGGAACTGCTGCTGATTATTCGACACTTACACATTCACTTTCAAATACGGCACATTTATTGGGTTCTGGCCAACATTTACTACAAGATACATACAAAAGTATGTTACCGACACAATCTGTAGGTAGTTTTTCTCTAACCCACGCGACAACTTCATCACCTCCTGCTCCTACAACAACAACAACGACCTCATCAAGATCTAATAGACGTTATGCTGGTCGTGCAACATGTGATTGTCCAAATTGTCAAGAAGCTGAACGATTAGGACCAGCTGGAGTTCACTTAAGGAAGAAAAATATTCATAGCTGTCATATTCCAGGCTGTGGAAAGGTTTATGGAAAGACCTCTCATTTAAAAGCGCACTTGCGTTGGCATACGGGTAAATGTACATTTAGCTGAAAATTGTCTTTGATTTTATTCTAAATTTTTTTATCATTTCATACTTGAAATATAGGTGAACGTCCTTTTGTCTGTAATTGGTTATTCTGTGGTAAACGTTTTACAAGATCCGATGAACTTCAGAGACATTTACGTACACATACCGGCGAAAAAAGATTCGCTGTAAGTAAGACAGTTAAGTCTTTTATTGTTGTTGTTTATTAAATCTAATTAAATGCTTTCTTTAAACAGTGCCCGATATGCAATAAACGATTTATGCGATCAGATCATTTGGCAAAGCATGTAAAGACACATAATGGATCAAATCCAGGTAGTGTAAAGAAAGGATCATCTGAATCATGTAGTGATTCTGAGGAGCCACCAAATGCAAACGATTTACACCAAAGTACACAAAATAGTAGCATCAATAACAATAACAACAATAATAATAATAATACCACACACAATAATAATCCGCTGCCCAACAATATGGATGTGAGTGGATTACATGCACAGCATCAACATAATACAATGATCTTAACACCACATCAAATCAATGCACCATTACTTCATCATCATCATCATCACCACCATCATCATACACCAAGTCCAGGTTTGGAACATGTCAATCAATTGGATATAAAGCCTGGCATTGTCTGAAATGAAATGAATGACGGTGAAATTGAGTCAACAACATTGTATGGTTCATATGCCATCATGAGACCCAGTTATACGTAAATAAAAAATATTACTCAATTTTGTATCAACCCTTCAATCTTCCCAAAACCTACCTACCTTCCTATTCACCTTGTTTTACCCATCTTCCAGTTCATGATAGTACATTTAACTACGATATTACTATGTATCATTATTATTATTGTTAGTATCATTAGTTTCGTCAGTCCCATGTTAAATGATCCAATCGAAATCATACACACATAGGTAAAAAAATGTTGTTGAAAAGATACAATGAAAAGTACAAAAAAATATGAAAATAATCACTGGCAAACACACACACACACACACACACATACTAAAACAAGACGTGGAAAATGAAAAAAAAGAAGTAGAAAAAAATATGAAATGATAAAAGTACACATTACAATTGAATTGAATATTAAATTAAACAAATTAAATTGAAGCATTCTCTATTTGAAAATTGGAATGATGGAAAAAAAGAGAACAAGAGAGAATTACAATGAGCTGAGGCAGAACGTATGGAAATTACAATGATTGTTAATAATTTTATGTTACACGCAGCATGAAATGGTAAAAAATCATAAACAAAAACTGAGAAATAATTGAAAAAAAAAGTAGAGTTAAAAGAAAATCATTGGCTTTGTAATTGATAGAGCACTTCCTTTCCGAAGAGAATTGATTGCTAATATCCGATCATGTTTGATTCGGAGAAGTATTGAACAAAGCATTTTTATGTGTAAATATGATATCTCATTGTTGGGCTTATAATCATTAACTCAATTTTTATTATTATTATTATTATCAAATTATGAAGAAAAAACTTAATTCTAACCAATATGAGAAATGAATTAAATTAATGATAATTTAAAGCAGAAGCAAAAAAAAATGAATTTTATGGTATAAAATGTTAAAAAAATAAATGTGTAAATGTTCTAAAATGTGCGTGCAAGAATCCATCAAAAAACTTTTTTCCATGCTCTTTATAATGTTGATACTAAGAAGTTTTGCATGAAACAACACTTATTAACATGTAGGATTTTCGTTCTTATGGGTTTTCCTCCTTTTGTCCATTCATTACAATATTTCATTTCATTGAATCACACCATCCTGATAATATAAAAATTATACAGCAGCCAAACAGTGGCCAAGTTTTTGTCAGGTGATAAAAATTATAGCAGCGACTCTTTTTTTTGTAGGATAAAGTTTATTTTAAGATTTTCAAACATTTAGGTTTTCATTGAATCTTGACATTTTAAAAATTCTATCACTGGTCCACTTCGACCTAAGCAAAAGTGTTGCATCCTTAGTAAACATTAGTTCAACATTGTTCCTTTTTTCACAATATTTTCTATATTAATCCACAACTTATTTACCCCAAAAGTTGAAAGATATTTTTTGGTTAAAATATCGAAACATATCACAACATAAATCTATCTTTACTTTTTGATCAAATGAAATAAAATAAAAGATATAAAAACTATAATGTTATTATTAAAGAATCAAGATGTTTTTGTATCATACTTAGATAAAAGAGCATAAAAATATTTCAATATGAATTTTTAATCACATTTCGTAAAAAATAAAGTTTAAATATCTATGACGTAAAAAAAAATTAAATAAAGAAAAATGAAAAGTTTAAGTAAATTTGTAAAATTTAAAGAAAATATGAAGGAAGAAAAAAATAATAAAAATAATTGATAAAATTTATTGCAAGAAATTGTAAACATTTTATTTTATTTCTTGTATTAGCATTTCATTCCCAAGAGTTCTAGGTCACTGCCTCTTGAATCAGGGGCGTAGCCAGGGGGGGGCCATAGGGGGCCCGGGCCCCCCCTACGAAAATCTGATAATTGTTTTATTAAGTATTTATAGAGAAGAACCAGTTAATGTAGAGGAAGTGATGAAAGAAATGTCAAAATCAGCACGAAAAATTTAATTTAATGTATGAATAATGAATTAAATATTTAAACTTATGAAGAATGAATATAGATTTAAGGATACAAAATAACGGTTTTTTTAATTTTCGAAAATGGGCCCCCCCTTAAAAATTTTCTGGCTACGCCCCTGCTCTTGATAGGTAGTGTCTGTGACAGATCTGTCACATATGCCTGTTTGCAGGTGATCTGTCAAGCAATTCTGATTTGAGTAGAATCAAATCATGTAAATTCTCAATGAATTTTAGGTTAATCAAAGCTTTAATCTATGAAAAGGATACAAGATTTATGAAAATTTCATAAACTGATTATTTGTTAAAGTCTTTGCAGCATAAACATTCTGTAGAACAAAACTAAAAATGCTTACAGGACCAGAAAATCTATACATCATTTCATCACCGATAAGACTTCAAAGACTTGTCACACAATACTTTAAATACTCCGACAAACTCAGAATCATGTCGCTTACGATTTTGCTTTAAAATTAATCAAAATAAATTGAGAACTTTGAGATTGAGATCAAATGACTAATTGAGTCCAGCGACAGTGTCATATGAAAAAGAATGTTTGAAAAGTCGACATTCATTAAATTTAATTATCCTCTTTCAGCATAAATAATTATCGTCTCGAAATTCAGTCCGCAAATATTTTCACCCTCTCACAAAACTATAAAATTATTTTTACAGATACTGCGCATCAGCTCATGGTTTTGTGTCACAACAGTCTTTTTAAAATTATTTCTTTTTTCCCGAAATGAATTTTCCAATTCAAAAATCACAGAGAAAAATCATTATTATTACGATCATTGACGTCGTCATCTCTTTCATCCCCTAAACAAACATTAATTCGACTCGCTTTCGTGTGACACATTTTTTGGTACTCGTTTCACATTTTTTTGTGTCTCTTAACTTTGTTTCATGCTGTGCTGATGACATTTTAGTAATAATGATTTTTGTAGTGATATTGTGTCTATGTGGCTGATTGTCTACTTGAAAATTCAGTTGTAATTTTTTTAAAGCCAGAATGTTCAGAATTCTACTGCTTCAACTATCAAAATCATCGATTCTATATTCTAATCTGCAGTGACACTTCAATGAAGAATATCAAAATGATTTAATGCGCTTCTGCCATCATTCATATTCATTCTCATTCATAGGATGATCTTGGGTTGATTACCACACAAAGCAGCTAACAATGAACTTACATACGATACAATTTTCGCATTTATTTGTATACATTAGAAATTTCAATATTTCTTCCTTCCTGTTTGTTTCCAGTGCTCTCGATGTATTACAAATTTCACAGGCAGTTATTTACAATGAAAATCAGTAAGAAGCAGTGCTGATTACAGTAAAGGAGAACATTATTCATGTATTTAATTTTTAAAATAACAAAAATGAGCATTAAATTATCCACAGGGGGCTGTTGTCATTTGGAAAATATCTTTTCACCCTTGATACATAAAAAATACTCCATAAAATGAGATTTATCTCTTTTACAGTGTGGTGTATTTGATGACACATTAGATTTATATTTATGTATTTTACAATTCCACACATTGTCAAATAATATCACTGGAAAATAGATATTTATTTATTTGTCATTAGGAAGGAAACCTTTCTAATTATTGTGAGGGAGAATGATTAAAATGTAAATGGAGATGAATGATTGAGCTGTGATGTTGAGTTTATTTGTGATTGAATGATCTACATATGCATAGATATTGTTTAAATAAGGATATAATTGAATGACGTCTGAGTTTTGGAAAAATCTCTTAAAATTTGCGACTTTTAAAAACTATTAACATACTCTCATAGCTCAAATGTCATCTACATACCCTGACTACCGTCAATTTGTTTCGAAGATCGCAAATTCTAAAACATATTTTAAAATAATTGTTTCGAAATTTGCAGCATATTTTCTGAAATCACTGAATATCCCTCAAAATAAATTATTCAAAAATTACATTTGCATAATATAATAAAACATTAACAATGTTAAGTACAGAAATTTCATTATATGAAGATACAGTGTATCATCAGTGATGTTCATTTAACTCAACCCTCTTGAAATTCTCGATGAAATAAAATATTTCACTATTTCTGGTTGATAATGTCACATAGATGAAAATAAGATTTCACAGATATAAAAAGCAGCATCAAGAAGAAGAAAGAGAAAAATCATTTCTCGTATTAATAAATGACTTTTAAGCATCATAATTCATTTTAGCCGCTCGCTTGCTGCCTCATTATGGTTGGTGCTGATGTTGCCATCTATAAATGTCAAATTACGGAATAATTTGATTTAATGCTTCGAGCATCACAAGTCATTTTAGGAGGAAAAATTATCATTAAAATGAAAATAACATTATTGAATTACCAGCAGCATCAAGAATGGAATGTTGTTGGTATTATGTTCAATTTTGAGTTTGAGGTTGAGGGTAATAGTGTCATCGAGTTTTCTCTTGCTCGGATGCTTGTAAAAACCGCAGTTTAATGCTTTGGCTATCATTGAAGTTGATTAAATCTAATGTTGTTAAATTTTCGTATAATTTAATTTTCTTCGGCAATAAAAAGGGAAAGGAAGTTTATTCAGTAGTATTATGGGGATTAAGAAATAATAGTAATATCAATTTGAGGATGATGATTTAACAATATTATCAACGATAATGTCGTTCGTTGATTTTTATCATTGAAAAATCTTGAGAAAATTAAATTGCAAAATTGTCAATCTGTACACAACAACAAGAAATGGGGAAACAACCCTCTGTTTAAAACGATCCGTTTATTTTTATTATCCCTTGCTGATTTTTCACAAGTTATTGTTGTGGATTTTATTTTATTTTTATTGAAAGCGACAGCAAATACAGCTCAGACCATTTGTTTTAACCATTTTATTGTTTTTTCCTTGGTGTCATTTCAATTTATTTAAATTTTCTACTTCAGAAATTCCTTTTTACTCGATCACAACAATGAAAAATTGATAATCATATTTTCTGTAAACAAAATTTCTCGACTAGGCACATTTTCTTCACACATCATTAATTCTCAATGTGCTCTCCTTTCAAAATAATCACCTGAAGTTTATCGCTTTGCTGTGACTTTTCAACAGTCACTATTCCAAATTAATTAAAATCACGTGTGTGACTGTCACACATTTTAACGGCCGCATTTTTCATCTCATTAATCTCTCCTCCATTTAACCCCTTTCAACTGCAATAAATTTTCTTTCAAGACTATGTCTTTACATCATGAAAAAAAATAAAAAGAATTTTCAAAGTACACACAGCGTCATGCTGAAGCGATTTCGTTTATCACATGTTGTCTTCATTTTTACTTCTAAAACGTCATGCTTTGTTTAACGAGTTTTATCTCATCCGAAGCTAGCTTGTTTAATGAAAGAACTGTAAGACTCGTTATATATGTCGGTACATTTATTACAATCTTTAATAAAGTTGTTTAACCGTTTTGTAGATTTTCACGTCAAGTGATAAAATATTTATTTTTCACATTCTATACGATATGAATTTCACGCAATAAATCTAGAGCATTTAAGAAAGCACATTTGTAATTGCAAATGTCTGACTTGAGAGAATAAAGGAAAAAAATGCACATTCGTGAATTAAACAGGAAGATGATGGTTAATTAAATAGAATAATTTGATAATTTTATGCTTCGATGAAGTTTTCGTCTTTCTTTCATTATTTTTAACCAAACAGTTGTAAAATCGTTGTGGTTTTTCTATTAAACAATCGAGAACCGACTTCTGTCATTTTTTTGTTTTACTGTACACATAAATAGTAATTAAATGTCTTGTGGGTGGATCTAATGTGGTTTTCTAGTAAACTATTATGTTGAATGTAATAAAGTATTGTCTTCATACTTTTCAACCGCGAATCGATAAAAAAAATATTGAGTCCAAAAATGGTGAACATGACAACATATTTTTCATTCATGCTTACCGCGCCTGTTGAATGATGTGTTAAAGTTAAAAATTAGTATGTATAAATTTATTTTAATATCCATCCCATTTAGCTTCACTTGTTTCACAATTGTATATATCTTAGGGCAAGTTTAAATAAATAAATAAGTTTCATTACGAACATAAGTTACCTATATATTTTTTGCAACTTAATTATAATAATAATAATAAAAGAATAAAATTGTTTTTAATAACGTCATATTGAAAAAAATAAGTGCATACATGAACGATATTTGCATGCTATACATTGTAAAAGTCTTAATAACTATGATCCAACATGTGGTGTATTTAGCACATATTTCATGTGTATCATCCCATGCATGCATGCGTTGGATTAAGAGAGAGAAAGAAAACGTGTGCTGATGACCGTTTCTTAAGTCATTTAATTTATTAGAGCCTATTAAAGTATACACATACTTTACGCTAAAATAATATTATTAAATATTTTATAAAAATGTTTCTGTGCAATGTACACTTAAATAATCATTTTTAAAACCCGGAAAGTTTAAATTAGATGCCTCATATAACAATGATGAACAATTAAGTAATGTCGTGTGTCGATATTCCGAATGCTGCTAATGAGGACCGGAACCAACTAAATTGTCCATGTCCTCTTGAATTTATTTTCAAATACCAATTTTCTGTTGCTACTTTAATGCTTTCAAATATTTTTAAATCATGTTAAATTTGTCAAGCATTGCCAAATATCAATTGATCTTTAGAAGGGTTGGTTAAATGGTTTTTAGGATACTGATTAAAC